GTGTGTGTGTGTGTGTGTGTGTATGTGTGTGTGTGCGTGTGTGCACGCGTGTGTGTACGTGCGTGCGTGCGTCCATGCCTGCATGAGTGTATACCAGAGATGCCAACCACTACGATTTATCCGTATTTTATACGAATTTCGTTTGCATTTTGACCACTACGACCAGTTTGCATACAACTACGATTTTTATTACGATCGAAAAAAAATCATTTTGATGATATTTCAAGTGTTTTCTTTTTTCCGAGATGCAACTTCCTGCATTCTGGGACCCAAAATGACAATAAGTTCACACTGATATTTGCTGCTAAATACATGTAGTTATTTTCAATCATGTTATATCAATGTAACACTGTCAAAAAATATCGGGGGGGTGCAAGTCCCGAACCCCCTAGCATACTCGGGTCACTGCATGACCCTCGGACTACAGATTTCAGACATCCTCACTACAGTTTGCTCAGAAAAGTGTTGGCATCTCTGCAGTAAGGATGAGATGCAGAGACACCGGCTATATCATGTAATATCATGTCTAGTGCAACCACTGACCGCATAAATGTCAATGTACTTGTCACACCTGTCTCGACCGCATTGCTAGATATATGCACCGATATTTCTCTAACGAAAGCGTTGTCGTCGTGGCAACTTCAGGTTCACGGCCGCGTCGTCGTGGCGACGCCGCTGAAGGGCTGCGGAACGCTGGCCAATGCTGATGAAATGAAAGGAGCTATCGGCATCGTCGAGCGCGGCGACTGCATGTTCGTTGAGAAGGCGAGGAACCTCGTGAAGGTGGGCGCCATCGCCGGCATCGTGCTAGGTATGTTCTCTTGTCATCGCTGGCGCCGTGCTAGGTACGTTCTCTTGTCATCGCCGGCATCGTGCTAGGTATGTTCTCTTGTCATCGCCGGCATCGTGCTAGGTATGTTCTCTTGTCATCGCCGGCATCGTGCTAGGTATGTTCTCTTGTCATCGCCGGCATCGTGCTAAGTATGTTCTCTTGTTATTGCCGGCATCGTGCTAGGTATGTTCTCTTGTTATTGCCGGCATCGTGCTAAGTATGTTCTCTTGTTATTGCCGGCATCGTGCTAGGTATGTTCTAGGGCTGTCTCTGTGTCTGCATTTTAGTATTTATCGTTACAGAGGTGAACCTATACGTTCGATCACGGTTCCTCACGGACGGATCACCCTTTATCCTACATGTCTTCATTGCAGACAACAACCTCGGCACTAGCAGCAGTACAGCGCCGATGTTTGCAATGTCGGGCGACGGCAGCAAGGACATCTTCATCCCCATGGTGTTTCTCTTCCAAGCCGAGAGTCAGATCTTGCTGCACGCGCTCGGCACGCACACAGACCTGCAGGTTCTCATGACGGACGCAATCCCGACGAGCGGCGCTGCCGGCACTGCAGGTGATCGATCGCCGGAGACGCGACCTGGCATGCGCGCGCGCGTGCGCACCCCGATTGTACATTGCCTCAAATTACCAGATTCATCATTAGAATATCGTCGACATCATCAATATATATTATAATTATATATATATATATATATATATTCACAACGTTTGGAGCGGGCTTGGACAAAAACTCGTATTAAATTGCGAGCTTGCACGTTTTTGGGTGTGCATGTTTTTGTATATGCGTAGCATTGTAGGGCTCGAAATCAATCGGTATACAGTAAAACCCGTGCTAGCAGTCACTGCTTTAGAACTGACACCCATCTATAAAGGAGGCTTCGAGTTTCTTTTAAGCGGCAGTTATATCATGAAACCACCTGTATTATATAGAACGAAACCTCTCTGTAAAAGGGCACTCAGTATTTCCCTTGAGTAATCCGTACGTATAGGTTTGACTGCATTGAGATCGCTGTCATACCAAAGACTTGAAAAATGGTACACACGGCTTCTCTGCTTAGCATTGAGCAAATAGAGATAGAGTGTGGCAAATGGCAAGTGATGGTGTCACGATAAAAATACCCGGCCCGGAGGACGGCGAACCCGGACTAGTATAGCCTTGTAAAGAACAAATGTTCCCGACTCAAGGAAGCATCATCATGCCAATCTTGGTCAACGAAAAGAAGAAGGAGAGAGATCGCTGTGGTGCGTCACCTCATGCTTTACTGTATACCGATTGATATCGAGCCCTACAATGCTACGCATATACAAAAACATGCGTACACCCACAAACGTGCAATCTCATTGCTGTTTCGTTAGATAAGGGCAGCAAGTTGGCAGACGAAACATTATCGGCAAGGACTGACGGAGTGACGGTGCAGTTGGTGGACATTGACGACGATGGAACCCGCCTCATAAACACGCAGAAGCGGTTCTTCGTCGCAGACGAAGATGACGTGAGTAGTGCACACTCGCTGGAGTGTTGTGAGCGCGGAGAGATGAGGCGTTTTTATTTAAGCAAAGCGCTTTGCAAAATATCAAATCTTCCATTTATTTAGACGATTTCGTCAAAGCGCTTTGGTCGTTCCGCTTCCACCAAATCGCTGATTACGTGGTTTAGCAAAGCGCTTTGGCTTAGATAAAAACGACTATAGTGTCAGCCGTCAGGGATACCGAAGGAGTAGTGTCAGTCTACACTGCATCGCATTGCTATATAATAATATATAATAAATAATAAATAATATATATATAATAGGTTTACGTGGACTGTGAGGGGATGCTAAAACTCCACCAGCTAGCAAGAAGTTGCTAAGGGATGGGTGAGGGAAGATGATAAAGAACTTTTCGAATAAATCATAAAAATAATAATAATATAGTAAAAAATAGTAATAATCACCTTAAATTTTAAGTTGTAATAGTCACGCACCCGAGCGAGCTCATCTGGTTTTTATTTTGGGTCACTTTCCTGCCCCCTAGAGTTACTGACTGGTGGTTAATATGTAGCATTGTATAGACGACTACACATTCTTATGTTATCAAAATCTGTTTCGAAAATAAAATCGAACGTGGGTGGTTTGTGGCATTGGGCTTGCTTTAACAAAAATATATCTACTCGAATATACAAACTACTAATACTAACCATTAACTAGGTGATGTGTTTTGATGGCCAGCGGATTAGATCAACTATCAACTCTTAATTAGTTCATCTAAATTAACTCCTGTTAACTCCTAATTAGTCTTCCTAAATTAACCTCTGTTAACTCCTAATTAGTCCTCCTAAATTAACGATTTCACAATATATTTTCGTTGGCAAGTGTATTACTATTAGAATAACTACTAACTAGTAGCTTATGTAACGCAACCAGCAATAACGCAATTTCGGATAATAACGTAATCATCACTTTTTTTCCTCATCATTTCACTTTTTGTGGAGATATTTTTAGTGACAAGTAGATCAGATCAGGCACTAATCGTTAATTGAGTGATGCGTTTTCGACGGCAGGCCGATCAGCAGAGGTCGACGACGCAGCAGCAGCAGTCGGACGGTCAGCCGCGGCTCGTTACCGCCGACAACGTGCACATGAGCGTCGTTGAGATGAATCCTGGGATCAACTTCATGCAGCTGCGCGTCGAGGAGGCCTACACGGATGCGTGCACGGCAACCAGCATCGATCAGCAGGTGCGAGAGAGCGCGAGACGCAGACGTGCACGCGTGCGAGCGTGCGTGCATGCGTGTGTGCATGCGAGCGTGCGTGCGTGCGTGCGTGCGTGTGAGCATGCGAGCGTGGGTACGTGCGTGTGAGCATGCGAGCGTGCGTGCGTGCGTGTGAGCATGCGAGCGTGCGTGCGTGCGTGCGTGTGGCATTGCGTCGTGCGGTGCGTTGCAGTGTGTGCATGCGAGCGTGCGTGTGAGCATGGCGAGCGTACCTGCGTGCGCAGTGTGAGGCATGCGTAGCAGTGCGGTGCGTGCGTGCGTGCGAGCGTGCGTGTGGGGCATGCGAGCGTTGCGTGTAGGTGCGAGCGTCGCGTGTAGGCGTATCGCAGCGTACGTGCGTGCGTCGTGGTGCGTGCATTCGTGGTGTGGGCCATGCGAGCGTACGTGCGTGCGTGTGCATGCATGCGTGCGTGTGAGCATGTGCGTGTGAACGCGAGCGTGCGTGTGAGCGCGTGCGAGCAGACATGTGCGTGTGCATGCATGCGTGCGTGTGAGCATGTGCGTGTGAACGCGAGCGTGCGTGTGAGCGCGTGCGAGCAGACATGTGCGTGTGCATGCATGCGTGCGTGTGAGCATGTGCGTGTGAACGCGAGCGTGCGTGTGAGCGCGTGCGAGCAGACATGTGCGTGTGCATGCATGCGTGCGTGTGAGCATGTGCGTGTGAACGCGAGCGTGCGTGTGAGCGTGTGCGTGTGCATGCGTACGTGTGAGCGTGTGCGTGTGAATGCGGGCGTGCGTATGAGCATGCATGTGCGTGTGAACGCGAGCGTGCGTGTGATCGTGTGCGTGTGAACGCGAGCCTGCGCGTGAGCATGTGCGTTTGCATGCATGCGGGCGTGCGTGCGTGCGTGTGAACATGTGCGGGTGCATGCGTGCATGCGTGTATGTGTTCGTGCGTGACAGTATGTGTGTGTTTATGCGAGTATGTGTGTGTGTGCGTGTGGGTGGTGTATGTGCGTACGTGCGTCCGTGTCTGCTGGCATACAATAGAACCGGCAATAGCACGAATTTGGATATACCATGATCATTAATTTTTTGGTATTTTGTACTTTATTTTTCCACACTTTTGCATGTAACTTGGTCGAAACGGTGCGGTAACAGCAACAAACAGCCTAAAAAGAAATTTACACTTTTAATTACTTCTCTGTACACTGCGATTGCACATATTATGCGATTAGATGTTTTTTGCATGTGTCTACGTCTTAGGGCGTGTTTGTTTGGTCGGATCCACGGATCTCGATCCACTGGATCTGTGGATCTGACTGTTTGTTTGGTCGGATCCACGGATCTCGATCCACTGGATCGAACCCTGGACCAAACAAACACAAACTCACTTTCAACGGTTCACGTTTCGCTGTGACCTATCACAGGATGGTTCATAACAAAGAACAATCTGTGATTGGCTGAGGCGCGGGCCGCCATATTGGATCCCGTTCGAAGCCACCTCGCTAGCACTAGCAGGGTCGGGTTCGGTGGATCGAGATCCGTGGATCCGACCAAACAAACTGTCAGATCAACGAATCCATTTGATTGAGATCCGTGGATCCGACCAAACAAACACGCCCTTAGCGTTGTGCGACCGTACAGTTACAGGGGCGGATCCAGAGGGTTTGGGTGACCAGTTTCCATAGTTCTAGTCACAGCTAGGGGGGTCCGGGGGCATGCTCCCCCCCCCCAGGAATTTAAAAAAAATAGGCTATATTTGGTGCACTCTGGTGAATTTTGAGGGTCAATTCTGTGGATACCCAGCCTGTGACTGGTTTCTGGAAACCGGTGCAAACCGGCCTAAATCCGCGCCTGAGTAAGCGCTGATTCCGCGTCTGCTTGCTATTCTTCCCGCGTAACAGGTGCGCACGAGTGTGGAGCGGAGCGGGCAGCTGCGCAGTATCATCACCATGCAGCGAGACAGCGACAACATCCGTCGCTTCCACCTCCGCATCGCCGACGCTACCGCCCCCGCGTCGCCCAGCGCAGCCGACTCGATCGCAGCGCAAGATGTAGAAGACGACGACGGCGACGTCGGCAACGACGACAAGTTTAGTGTCACCGGCGGTTACGGCGGTGACAACAGCGGTGACAACAGCGGTGACAACAGCGGTGACAACAGCGGTGACAACAGCGGTGACAACAGCGGTGACAACAGCGGTGATAGTAGCCGCGGTGGAGAGAAGCGCAGCAGCGACAGGCGCGGAGTAGACCGGGAGGCGGACAAGGCGGCGCAGCGGGAGCGGGAGCGCGTGACGGCGCGCATGCGGCGGCTGCTGTGGCGCCGCACGAACCTGCGCGAGCTGCCGCGCGCGCACGTCTACATCGCCGCCATCGCCCGCCTCGTCGACGTCGCCCTCGGCGGCGACCGCTCGCTCACGCCGCCGCAGCAGCGCGCCCTGGTGGAGCTCGCGCAGCTCGTGCGCACGCGCGATCCCCCCGCCCCCTCCGGCGGCGCCCCCGCGGCGCTCGAGCTCGACCTGGGGTCGGGCGGCGGCGGCGGCGAACGGACGATGCACGACGACATTGAAACGATGCTCGCGAAGCACGCTGACGCGCTGCCGACGAACACGCGCGGAGAGGTGCACTTCCGCGTCGTCCGCGGCGGCGCGCCCGAGACGCTCAGGGTCAAGGTCGCGCCAGAGGTCGCGGAGGCGGGCCGTGAGGGGACCGCAGCAGCGGAGGAGGAGGAGGAGGAGGAGGAGAGGCGCCGCGATGAGTTGTGATGACGGTTGGAGTCGTAGCTTATTTTTCCTTCTTGTGGTCGTAGAGATGTCGATGCGTGTGTCGCGTGTGTGTGCGTGCGTCCGTGCGTGTGTGCGTGCGTACATGCGAGAGTGTGTGCGTGTTTACGTTCGTGCGTGTGAGCCAGGTTGCCTGCATGATGGGTGTTGTCGTTGGTCGTATGTGTGTGCCTGTCCTGTACCGCATTGCTCGTGGTGCTCTTATGTAAGCCGCCGTTGTGACACTCTTGCTTTCGCGCCTTGATTGTGAAATCTACTCTGGTCGGATCATGATATGTAAAGGCGGTGCGCCCAGCAACTTTTCAACCTTCGGCATAACCTTGATTTCTTCATTCATATTAAGCGTAGAGTGAAGATCTCTTGACAGTGACCTTTCGACATTTTGGAGGTGGGCTAAACCTACGTTTCGTCACTTTATTAATAGTGTGAAAGGTTCTTGCCAGTAAGATCCGTGTTTTGTGTGGATGATGGGAAGTTTAGTTGGTTTAAAAGAAACATTAGTGAATATTTAAGCGCCTTAACTGTGATTGTTTATGTTTCACGCAACTTCAGGCTATACGTACCTTCCCCGTTTTCTAGCCAGCAACTATTTCACCGCCTATGGTACAGAGTAGATCTTACTGTTAATGTTATGGTTCCGTTGAAACCCACTTTCTGCGCGTAGCATAGATAATTCGATATCTGATCATAATAACACTGTGCCTGAGGCTACGTGTCATTCCTATGGTATCAGGAGTTAATAAAGACAAATTGTCTTTATTAACTCCTGATGGTATCTATGTATTGTAAGGTCAAAGACCTACTGCAAACTAGCTCTGCCGGTGTAGCCCAGGGACCGAGGCGGGACCTGTAGCGGGAACGAAGGGGCTACACCGGCAGAGCTAACTGTAAACGTTGCACCGTGGACGCGGATGTATTGCGTTGGTTTTCATGTAGCATTCGCCATACACGTGTATACCACCAATGCAGTAGCTTTTACTGGGCTGGGCTGGCTATCTAAGGTCGATAGCTCTTCTTGGCGGCGAATTCCTTCGGATGTTCCAGAATTCGGAGGTGGTTGACAGAATTATAAGCAGCACGATTGTCAAGGTCTAAAGTAGCAAGCCCTCTGTCATTCACCGCCATTCATGGTAGAACATCGCGAGTTCAGAATTCGCATGGCGGTAGCCACTCCTGTTGCTCGATGTTACTCGTGTAATGGCAATTTCCCATGCCTTAATTCACTACGCGATATATCCCATATCCTTCTCACAGTGTGTGTGTGTGTGTGTGTGTGTGTGTGTGTGCGTGTACGTGTGCGTGTGCGTGTGCGTGTGCGTGTGCGTGCGCGTGCGCGTGCGTGTGTGTACAAAACGAGAGAGAGAGAGAGAAAGAGATTCATGTACTATTAGGACCATCCTTGACTTCATATTGTTTATGTTATTAATTTTATAGGGTAGTTAAATTCGAAGTATTACATTAGTGGGCAGATAGCAACCTTGTTTCTTTTTATTTAAATTTTTGGTGGCGTGACTGACCCTATACTCTGCATTACCTGAAACTATAACACCCATTTCAACAGTTCCCATATCTGACCCGGTATGCCTGTGAGTGCGTGCGTGCGTGCGTGCGTGCGTGCGTGCGTGTGCGTGCGTGCGTGCATGCGTTCAGTCAGTGTTTACATTAATGTATGATGTATATACGTCTGTTTTGCGAAAGCTGGCTATATCGTGAACTGTTGCCATCTGGCTATATCGTGAACTGTTGCCATCTGGCTATATCGCGAACGCGTTGCCATCTGGCATTTAGTTTGCCAGCACGAGTCCATGCAACAAGTTTACCTCCAACGAACGAGCTCGGTTCAAGTGGAATTGCGCGTGCATATATTTATTGTGTATTTACTGTGACCCATCGTTGTGTCGTACTTCCCATTTTGATAAAGGAATTTCAGTGCTAGTGCCTGGTAGATAGAAGTATTTCTATTCGCCCCCCATTCTACCCTAACCCTTCTCCCCTCTTGATCTGACAATGGTAACCTCCTCTTTTAGTCGCGATGTAGTTAACTTTTATTATATTATATAGCAATTGCGATTGCCTTACTAATAAATACACAGTATTGAATGTTAGATAATACATTTTCGGGGAGAGCATGTAGACACTGCGTACTAGCATGAATATCTATATACATATATATACAGTATAAATGTGTTCATGGTACTATAGTATGAATATATCAGGAGTAAGATAATATAGGATATATCATCTTACTCCTGGATATAGGATATATCATCTTACTCCTGGATATAGGATATATCATCTTACCTATATTATCCTCCTCCTGAATATATCTATACACGTTATATGTATTGGTTCTTGTATAGATATATTTGTGGTACGGCGGAAGTTGGCCGTGTCTGCCCCGTGTGTAGCATGGTCGATGGTGTATGACGATGATGAGTAATTAGCTTTTGTGCGCGAGAAGGTTTATCACCTGTGATCAGGATGGTCTAGTTTGTAGTCAATGATCGTCATGGTCGGTGCTTCTTAAACTGGTTATTGGTTCGCCCGAGGGTGAATGAAATTATTTTTGGGTGGATGAATCTACAGGGCTGAGTGAAGGGTTCATGAATCTAGAGGGCTGAGTGAAGGGTGCATGAATCTAGAGGGGTGAAAGAAGGGTGAATGCAACAGGAACTTAAAGCCGCACAATGCGCATCCAAACGCTAATTTCTCCAGTACTAGACTAGCAAATACTTCGTGGCATGCATAATCACACTACCTTATGACAAAATAAACTTCCTCCCATTTCACTGCGCGTTTGCTTAGAACCCACAAGAAAGAGGTGAGAAAACGGGCATTCTGGTGCCAACGCCGACTTGTTTGCCAAACAATTTAGCATCGAAGTGGTTAGGTGACGTCACATGTATTTATCTTTGCTACACCCGTACCGCTGTACCGCAGCACCGCTGCACGGTTGCTTGGGAGAGCAACGCGAAACTGTCAACAACATCGGAGAATTTGAACAACATTGGAGGTATTTTCAAATACCTTTTATAAGACAACGCGCAGTGAAATGGGAGGATCTAGAGTTTATTTTGTCATAAGGTAGTGTGATTATGCATGACACGAAGTATTTGCTAGTCTAGTACTGGAGAAATTAGCGTTTGGATGCGCATTGTGCGGCTTTAATTTACTCAGATATTATATGATATCTCGCTATACTTAAAAAGGCATTGCTATTAAACTCGTTAGTAATTGAGCTCTTATTGACTTTAATGTCATTGGAGCTGGAAATTTTATGTTTTTTTCTCTCTACCCGTGGTTTTCTAATTGCAAAGTAACAGGTACATATTACAGCAAATTTACTGTAATATAACCTTTTCTGGGAGACCAGACGAGCTAGTGGAATCATAAATTTATAAATGGCAACACTGGAGTATTGCCATAGGCAACTACTGAACTGTAACCTTACTTGGAGCTGCCAATTTCGCTACTTTTCTGATAGAACTAGAATTCTTTATATATATTAACTGGACTTCAATCTACCAGCACATATTTGCATGAATCAACACGAATTCTAGCTATATTAAGGAGATTTGAGCCCCGTTTTTAGGCAATCTAAAGTTGGATTGTGCAAGGGAGAGTAAGACGAAAATTAACACAAGGAAATTTAATTGCGGATGAATGAAATTTTGTGATGACGACTCGGGGGTGAATGACACTGAGATAGTTTAAGAAGCACTGATCTAGATCACCTGAGAAGTGCGCTGCTGTGCCTGTAATAGAAGCGCTCGGTGTATTCAGCGCGCATGCGCACGCGTCGACGTTAGCGCACGCTGCTTCTAGTCGCAAAGTCTCGTGATATCAGGAGTGTATCATATAGATATCTATATTATCCACTCCTGGTAATATCATGAACATATCAGGAGCTAATAAGAGAGGTATTATTAGCTCTTGCGCATTATCAGGAGATAGTAATGACAAATACTCCTGACAATTCCTGATAAATGATTAATGTAATTTGTCATTATTTACTCCTGACATTATGTATTGTACGCATGCATGGTAGTATTTGCGTACGGAGCAAGAAGTTTGATTCGTTACCGATTAGAGAACCAGCTAGACGCGGGTGTGTATGGTCGCGTACTCCAACAGGCAACGGTTAGCCTATGACTATACATGTAGCATGTTATTGAAACAATTTGCTGTGAGGATAAACCATATGATGATATACACGAAAATGTTAGTTGGCGCCACCTCGCGTCGCCGCCGCGTGCATATATATATATAAGTGGCTAGGCTAGGTCGATGTTCTACGATGATGTAACGCGCGTGCGTGTGTGCGCGCGTGCGTGTGTGTGTATGTGCGCGCGTGCGTGTAGCAAACGTAACGCAGCAAGAGCGTTACTTATCAGTGATGAAATGTGATCGCTGCACCCGGACGAAGTTGCCTTGACTATCACCATGGTGACGTCGCGCGTGCAAATCTCGCGGTCAGTGTAGCCGGCACTCGTTTAATCATCATCTCTACCGATCTAGCTAATTTAGAAATGCGGGGAATTCATCGCGTTCAGCGGTGAAAGTTGGGCGTGTCTTTGTTAAATGCCTTCGCGGTCGTAATAACCTATCGTACTATAATAATGTCCGTGCTATGTTGTTTCTTCACTGCATGTTAAAAGTGCCGAGACTCTCACAACGACTGACTGACGCCGATCGTTGGTGGCTTGCATTGTGACTTGAAACATTGTATTGAGTGATCGTGAGGCGTTGCAAACACTAGCCCTGTCCACGAAGAGCCGTGGTGAACGTACGTAAACACACGGTGACCTAACTGGAAGGTTCGAGTCGCAGATTAACAGAAGTGCATACTGTTAGAGTAGTATTAAATATGTACTTATATATAAATGTAATGATGTATGCGCGCGCGCGCGCGCGCGTGCGTGCGTGCGTGCGCGTGCGTGCGTGCGTGCGTGCGTGCGTGCGTGCGTGCGTGCGTGTATATATATATATATATATATATATA